CGTTCAAATATGAGCCACAATTCATAGAACCATCAGGAGAGAAAAAGAGAAGACGACAGAAAACTGCACTATGTCGGCAGAGAAGCTAGAGTTTAAATAACAGCCTAGAAAATTAATGAACTCGTGAACATGGTGGATTCTTTCAAGCAGGATGACATGCTGGAGCTGACAGGCAAACAGGGCCTTCCCTCTAGCATCTGAAAAGTGATTGGGAAGTCCCCACTGAGCCACATAAAAACAGAAGTTAATCACCTTAATAGGCTCTTACCTCTGTGGATGCAGGCTCTAGGTCAGTTTTCAGAGCAGGTACAGGAGGTGGTGATGGAGCTTTCTCTTCCTCAGATGTGGGACACAGTGGGAGATCTGCTAAGAAGATAAACATCTTGATAGCACACAGGCCTAATGCCTCCTTGCAGCTACCCTTTTGTCTCCTCATTTCATTTAACTCTGAGCCATTGCTTGTAACCTGTATTTGGATCAAGGTTTACAAGTTCCTGCTCAGATTTGTTTAATGCAAGTCAGGACAAATCGTTTGAAGCCGTCAGCCTCCAGCCAGACTGCTGGCCCTATGCTAAGGTGCTACGTGCTGCAGTTCCCAAAGGGAGGATGGGATGGGAGGAAGAAGTGTGTTAGGGATTTCCAGTAAGCCAAGATCACTTCCACCAAACGAAGCTTTGAAAACAGGCACAGAAACCAGCATGTTTTAGCCATATATTTTACTTGCTCATTAAAAAGAGGGACTAATTTGTTTAGAAATTGAAAGAGTCAGGGTTTAAGACTACGTATTCCCAAATCACTGGATGATCTCAGTTTCTCTCCCTCGCTGTTTAAAACAGTCACTGCTTCACAGGTGGTGCTACACATCCCAAACAATCCATGCTATTAGCTTGGAACTACTTTAATCCAAGAATTAAGTGCAATATACTATTACCCACCCTAAAAGATTGTTAAGGGACACCCCAACTTTTCATCTGAAAAACAAACAAAAAACTAAACCACCCCAAAAAGCTAAGCCCATTCTCTCATCTGCCACCATCTATGATCTCTTCCAGGTGCAAGGACGGAAAGCGAAACCCTTTCAATGCCAAAACTGATTGAAACAGTCAAGGCCACCTTCACAAATTTGTAAAGAGCAAAACCAGCTCTGAAGCCTCTGACAGCACTGCCAAACGGGGCCTTAGCGAGACCGGCAGGGCTGACAGACATGAGAGAAGGCCAAGGTCACTCTTCTGTGGGGCTGGCAGGGAGGCAGAGCCGTGACAGTGAAGAAAAATCAGCGCAGGGCAAGAGGGGAAGGAGCAGCACCTTGCACCACGCACCGTGATTAATTTAAATGGCTTTAAGGAACCCTCTCCAAGCCCAAGTGAGAAACGCTGCCGTGCAAGCCCTCCAATGTGGGGGAGAGCTCGGAATGTGGGGGAAGAAACTCCTCGCCTGACCTCTTGCTTAACAACAACAACAACGATGCCGCTGGACGGGAGGACAGAGTGCCTGCCTGGCTTCTCCTCCCAGCTCTGCTGGCCGCGTTCATCCTGTCATTGTAACACGATTTCTGGATCTGTAGCTGTCCCAGCCGATTAGGTCAGTGTTAAGAGTTATGACTGTGCCAGGCACCCGGCCAACTGACCTTCACAGGTTAAGAAGGGCTCAAGTGAAACAGTGGTTGGCTGCCAAGGCTAAATAATAAATTACATTCTTCAAACAAGGACTCAACCTCCTAACTACTTCAGTAAGCGAGGCACAGAAATGCAAACAGAGTGGGATAACATGACTCGGTATTTCACCTTGCTCCAAAGAGCTGGGTCTGGCAGCTGCGCAATGATAAAACCAAACAACGGATCTGCTCTAAGGTGCTAACTGCTGGGGCAGCCGGGACCGCGGCCGAGGAGCTGCGGGGAGCTCAAAATTCTCAATATTTATCACAGTCTCACAGCAACTGCAGGCAGAAGCGCCCGTACGCTGCACAGCCCCACACCCGCTTCACGGACTACCCGGGCTGGCCACAACAATTCCAGAATATTTTTTTAAGAGAGCGTAGGCCAAGAGGGCTGAAAACCAGCCTGGTGAAAATCTGCCACCTCTGCCGTGCTCGAGCAGAGCCTGCTGCAGGCGTTTCCAGGGTGTTAACTCCACTCTGCTTGCTTGGGGGAAATCTGGGCTTTTCTTCAGCCTCCTTCAAACAAGTTCCCCCAGCTTTTGGCCGGCAGAAGGCACCTTCTCCCCACGTCGGAGCGTTTCGGACTGCCATCAAGCTGCGCCTCTATTACTTTATTATCCTCTTCTAGCCAACGCAGCCCTCTGACATGTGATAACTCCTGAGTCAACCTCTAGCTGCTGCCCACAGTTTACTCAACAGCAACAGCTGCATGAAATGGATACAAGTTGGGCAATTGGATGTACCAAAGATTTAAATCCTGGCTTTGTTCAGTTTGCTCTGACCCTGCCTGGAAAAACTGTGAGAAGCTTTAGTGCTTCTACTGCGGCTCTCCGAAACCGATAGAGTTTGTGGGTTACAGGGCCACTGAAATCACCCTCCAAAGTGGCTGTAAAACACTTGTCAACACTGCGAAACGCTGCCTGTGTTGGTATAGCTGAAGCTGCCAAAACCTCCTGTCCTCTGTGGACACACTTGTGTAGTTTATTCTGGCACTGGACGCAAAACAACCTGCAGTGACTAAGGCACCCTCATACCAATATAACTTTTTAATGAAAAATCATTTAAATGGAGAGGATTGTGCCTTATGCCCGCTCTGTATTTTCAACTCGGTACAATGTGCTGACACTCGTGTAAGAGGAGCTTATTTTGGGCTAATTTCAGTACATTAAGAGCAGACTAATATAGAACAACGCAGAAGACTTGCCCCGCCATACAGCGCTCCGCACCAGCCGTATGGACCCCGTTTCAAACCCACAAAACGTCGCGAAGTCTGCCCTGAAAAAGGGCAGCGGTTTTACTAGCAGCTACACAGGTGGAGCCCTGTCTGAACGCCGCTCAATCACAGCAGCGGCTGCGGACAAACGTCCTCTTGTATCCGCGGCTGCGCCCGCGGGAAGGGTTAGCGGCCCTGCCCGAGGCCGGTGCCTCCTCGAGCCGCCTCGGCAAGAACCTCCTCGCTTGCTTCGAGCCGAGCTCAGCCAGGTTAGCGTAAGCAGCCGCTAGACTGATGGCCT